GGGGACAGAGGATCTGAAGTGGGTTCTGTGCTGACAGCAGAGAGTTTGATGTGAGACTTGAACTCCAGAACCATGAGATCATGACCTGAGCTGGAGTCAGATGCTTAACTAAGTAAGCCACCCAGGAGTCCTGACTGTGTGCGCATTTTGATCTTCACTCCCTATCTCCAGGCCTGTGTATCCCACTGCATACATTTCTCCAATGAGATGTTTTTCCTCTAGTGTCTCAAATTCTTCTTTTTTTTTTTTAAAGAGAGAGAGTGTATACATGTGGGGAAGGGGCAGAGGGAGAAAGAGAGAATCTCAAGCAGGCTCCATGGTCAGTGAGGCGTTCAACGCCATACGTGGTCCCACAACCCTGGGATCATGACCTGGGTCAAAATCAAGAATTGGACACTGAACCGACTGAGCCATCCAGGTGCCCCTAGTGTCTCAAACTCTAAAAAAAATTTTTTTTAATGTTTACTTCTTTTTTTGAGAGAGATAGACACAATGTGAGCAGGGGAGGGACAGAGAGAGTGACACAGAATTTGAAGCAGGCTCCAGGCCCTGAGGTGTCAGCCTGGAGGCCGACATGGAGCTGGAACTCTAGAACCACGGTATCATGACCTGAGCCAGAGTCAGTGGCTTAACCAACCGAGCCACCCAAGCGCCCCCTAGTGTCTCAAATTCTAAAACGAACCAAATCAAATTCGTTAACTCCATCTCCAGGTGTGCACTTCCATCCCCCAAGTCACCAGTATGAAATTTTGGAAGCATTTTAGACTCTTTCCTCCATTTCTTGGCGTCCAGTCAACAAATATTGTGGCTTCCGTCTTCTAAATGTCTCAAACTTTCTCTCTTGACTCCATTGCTAATAGTACATTTACTTCCATTTTATTTCAAGCTGTCTTTCTTTCTTGGAAAAATGCGGTAGCTTGTCTGGGCTCTTTGCCTCCAATAACTCCCCAATGCAGATGTGTTCATGTCTCTCCATTGCTTGTGTGTTCATGCCTGTCCAGCTCCTCAGTGGTTTTCCCATCACCTTCACGATGAAGTGCAAACTCATAGTGCAGTAGTAAACTTTCATGGTCTTGGCACAGCTTACCTGTCCACCATCCATGTTGAAATTGCTGCATTTCTGGAATGGACAACATTCCTTCATGCCTACAGATTTTTGCACTTGCTCTTTCCTCTCTCTGGAATGTCTCTTGTCTCTTCCTTTCACTCTTGAGTTCCTCTGACAGACTTGTGCATCTTTCAAAACTTTGCTTACATGTTACTTCCAGGAAGCCCCCTTGACCCAACCTGCCCTTATCACCCCCTCTACCCTTTATCCCTCCTAGCTGAGTTTAGTCCCTTGTCTCCTACTTACCTCTGTAATAGCACCTATTGCATTGTTGGTGATTTGCTGGTCTCTCAGTAAATTGGGAGCCTTATGAAGGGCAGTAGAGAGAAGCAGTTAGAAACTCAGGTCAGGGGGTGCCTGGGTGACTCAGTCAGTTAAGTGTCTTGATCCCAGCTCTGGTCTTGATCTCAGGGTCATGAGTTCAGACCCCATGTTGGGCTTTGCACTGGACACGAAGCCTACTTTAAAAAAAAAAAAAAAAAAAGGTCAGCTTAAGGAGTTAGACCTGGATTTGATTCCCAGCTGCATCGTTATTATGTGACTTGAGGCAAGGTCCTATACTTTATTTCTGTGTCTTAGTTTCACATCTTTAGGAACTGTACCTGTCTTTATTAAAATGTATGTGTCGGGGTCCCCAAGGTTCACCCCTAGATTCAGTTATTTACTAGGAGGGCTCACAGGACTCTGCATGGTTTTACTCACTGCTGTCATTTATTATAGTGAAAGGATACAAAGCATAATCAGCAAAAGGAAAAGGTGCGTGGGGCAAAGTCTGGAGAAAACCATGTGCAAACTTCTAAGAGTCCTCTCCCCCTATAGTTACATAGGACACACTTAATTCCCCCAGCAATGAGTTGTGACAGCACATGTAAAATATTGTCTTTTAGGGAAGCTCATTAGAGACTCAGTGCCCAGGGATTTTATTGGAGGCCCTTCACATAGGCACCTACTGCCAACCATTTACCAAAATTCCAGACTCCCAGAAGGAAAATGGGTGTTTGGCATAAACCATATTTTTTACACAAACACAGTTAGGTACAGTGAACCATTCTTGTCGGGTGGTGGGAACCCTTTTAAGTGTTAAGTTCCCATAGGCCAGTCCGGGGCCAGCCTTACAAGCAGACCTTGTTAAGGATTGTGATTGCAGGCCTGCAATCTGCCTAGTGAATAAAACACTTAGCATAATGCCTGGCTCTTAACAGGCATTTCATAATAGTAGCTGCTTCAGCTGCTGCTGTTTTGGGTAGGGACTCTCTGTCTCACCTCTGTTCCCAATGCTTAGCACAATGCTGGGAATAGGATGTCTCACTAACAGTAATAATCATAATTTCTGCTACTAATAATAGGTGATATGTCTTAAAACTAATTATGTGCCAGTCTCTGTTTAGGGACTTGACAAGTTTTGATTTATTTAACCTTCATCAGAGCTCTGTGAGATTGATCCTGTTTGTGGTCATAGTTTACATACGAGGAAATCAGTGCACAGAGAAAGTGACTAATTGGCCCAGGTTCTTGTTTAATAAGTGGTGAAGACGGGACTTTAACCCAGGCCTTCCACCTCCAGAGACTGCTATAAACTTTACCAGGTCTCAGTCAATGTTGGATTGGGCAAGTGTCTAAATATTCTAAATAAATGGATATTTAAAGTGAATTTTTCAACCACCTTTAAAGTATAAGATGGGGAAACATGACTAAAAACTAGATGTTAGGTAATATTTTAAATTTTGTTAAGCATGATAATGGTACTGTGGTTATAAAGGAAAATGACCTTAAATTTTAGAAATGTTTTTCAAAGTATTTAGGATGAAATGTCATGTCTTATTTATAGTACCTCAGTAAAATAAAACTTAATGAAGGGAATATGGGGAAATTTTAGCAATTATTAAAGTAGGTGGAGAACATTCATGAAACCATTTTCCCTAGTCTTCTGTATTTTTAAAAATAAAAATTTTTACAATTGAAAGAAAAAAGTTACTTATTAGCAATAGTAAGCAGTATTCAAAGTAATAGGAATATTCACATATTTTAAAATAGATTGTTGGGGAAAATTGATGTCTCATTAATATATTGATTCTTGAATCCATACTACCTATTAAAGTTCTTGATGCATTTTAGGTAAAGATACTGAAACTTTTTTTTTAATTTTTTTTTTTAACGTTTATTTATTTTTGAGACAGAGAGAGACAGAGCATGAACAGGGGAGAGGCAGAGAGAGAGGGAGACACAGAATCCGAAACAGGCTCCAGGCTCTGAGCTGTCAGCACAGAGCCCGATGCGGGGCTCGAACTCACGGACTGTGAGATCATGACCTGAGCCGAAGTCGGACGCTTAACCGACTGAGCCACCCAGGCGCCCCTATACTGAAACTTTTTCAATGTCTGTGATCAGTTCTTTACCAGTCTTTGCTCCCTTGCTAAAGAACCTTCTCCATTTTATCCCAGGACTTTACCTTGGAAAAAATAAAGTGATTTTCTTTTTTATCACTGAAAATATATTCTTTGTATTTTATGTACTTGGTGTGATATGACCACAATGGATTTGTTTATCACTGCTTATTGCAGTACCGCATACACACACACAAACATAATCTATCTGTTTAGCATCTGTCTCCTTCTAGTGTTGCTTCTTCTTTACAAGTAGATAGACTAGGGCCCAGGTACGTTAAGAGGCTCTTCAATGATCACAGTCAAAGTATAACCAAAGCTAACATAAGACTTACTGCTTTCTGGTTCAGTACTGGGGTCTCACACTGCAGAAAACCCAAGTATGAATATGACCTCTTCTTGTGTCAATTTCAACAGGCTTCCGATGGAAGCAGCTCCAGAGAAGATCTTTCATCTCAGCTTTTGAGAAGAAATGAACAGATACGGAAATTGGAAGCCAGACTTTCTGGTATGTCAGAGAACTCATAAAAAGCAAGCAAAGAAAACTTGCCTTGGTTAACTCTCTCTTTTTATAAAATAGCCATGTAGTATAACCTTATAGTTATGTTGACATATTTTCATATATTTCTTAGTCACATTGGAGCAATTTGTACCCTTTTTGTTCCCTCCTTTTATTAGTGTACCGAATAGTGTAAATTCAAAACTGAGTTTTAAAGTTAAAAAAAAAAAAAAACCCAACAACTTAGGTTTTTCTGCTCCTGAGGTTTCTAGCCATGGATATCAAAGGTGTTAAAAGTGTATATAGACTAGCTATGACCATCTTTTACCCATTAGCATAGCCTACTTTCAGATGGAGAGGGGTAGGGAATAGTATTTATAGGGAATGGCCAATAGGTGGATTCTTCAGCACCAAAGAAGGTTTGGTGCTATGTGGTCACTTGCTACAGCTACATATCACCTGTGTAAATGTCATTCTGGGTCTTTAGGCCACTTTTCAATGATATTCAACACCTGTATAGAAGCTGTAACTCTCATTATGTCTTTTGTGTGCAGTTTACAGTTAACACAACTTCCGTCATATCCTTGCCTGACAGGGCATGTTTGTGATAGAGTTGTGAGTTCTTATTTTGGTTTCTGCCAGTGGATACATTTTGAAAGTTTCATCCTGTGAAGTGGTCAACGGCTTCTGTGTTTCTTTTTGTCCCTTGGCCTTATCCACATTTTTTTGGAGTGAAAGCAGTAGACTACAGAATTCGCCAAATCGTATGTGAAGTATTTGTGTGTGTGAGTTACCAAAGGTCCATAGCACAGCTCCCAGCTCCCAGTTGATCCATTATCTCATTTTGTCCTCACTGTAGCCTTATTAGGCTGAACGAGGTTAAGGTCACACAAGTAATAGTAGGTGGTAGAGCTGAGATCCAGACCCAGATTTGCTTGCTAGAGTCCATGCTCTTAACTACAGTCTTCCTTAAATTCAGTTGTGACCATCCTGTTATGCGTGCCTGTAAGTAGTATCAGTAACAGAGGTGAAATAACGTCACATTTCCTTAATGTTGGGGAGAAAGCTGTAAAATACCATGTGCCTTCCCTAATATAGAAGGAAGAATGGTTTAGGCTTGACTTAAGTTAGAGGAGGGACAGGGAAGAGAACAGACACTTAGCCCAGTTATGTCCTGAGTATTTTCCTCCGGGTTAAGTATGAATAACAAGGACAACAACATAGCAGCTACCTTTTATTGAGCACTGTGTATCAAGTGGTTCTGGCATGGAAAAATACCTAGTTTATTATCTAATTAAGACATCTAAAACACTTTGTTTATTAAGTGCATTTGAAGCAGGCACAATTAATATCATTTGATAAGTAAAGAAACTAATACTTAAGACCAATAATTTGCTTAAGGTCTCAGCTAAGGACTGACAGAGTTGGGATTTGAACTAAAGCTTGCCTACTTTTCCACTATTCCATACTATCTTCTTTGGCCACCCAGGTAATTAATTCTGACTTTCACCTTTAATATGGCATAGGAAGCTCAGTTTCTGTGTAGAAAAGAAGCTGACTTTTCTAGAGAATTAAGTACTTTCATGGTAAAGACCATACTGTGTAAGGTGTTTGCTATCGCCCTAACCATTGTTACTCAGTTGTATGGACTGTGAGCTAGTGAGTTCCCTTTGACCTCTCCTATTGCTAATACTGGAAGGGGAAATGAAAATTGAGACTGGAAATTAAATAATGAGCAGAGCATTTCTGATGACCAGTCCAGGCCCAGTTCTTGTTCCCTATCCAGGCTGAACAAATCTGCCTGTTTGTACGCACCATTAACACCGTGGATAGTTTGTACTATACCTGTTTGCCTGTGTTGTTCATTGTTAACGGGAGGCTGTCTGCCTAGCTTTCCTTAACAGCAATGGTTTTCAGGTTGAGAAAATCATCATCATTTTCACTCATTTTTTTGTTTAATTAACTTCCTTTCCTGATGTTTGTCCATTCCTGGTATGTGCGTCACCCTCCTCACCCAAGACTATGCTGAACAGGTCCGAAACTTGCAGAAGATAAAAGAGAAGCTTGAAATTGCGTTAGAAAAACACCAGGATTGTACGTATTTTTTTCCTGCTTTTTTTTCAATCTTCTTAGGGTTTATATATTTTTTTAAATGAAACAGTAGCGTATGGATAAGTTTGTCCTTCGTCATAACTCCAATCTTTGTAAGTGTACTTCTTAATCAGGTTGATATAACATTTGTCTGATATTTATAAACATACAGTTCCTATTTATGTTACATGATGGGCATGCTTCTTAGGAGAAGGTCATCGTGTGTATCAGCTTGTCTTCATCCAGCATATTGGCTGCCCTTTGATTTTAGTAAAATAGTGTGCCTGGCCCTTCGGCCTAGATTAGGAGACTGGTTTGAGCTGTAGCTTCATGCTGCTGCATTCAGTAATGGGGGGATATCTTAAGCTGTCATCACTCCTCCAACAATGGTACATATTGTTTAGTCTATCCTAACTTATATGTTCTCCTTTGGATTCAAGCCAAGAAAGCTGCTAACAGAAATAGAAAGTTATTTTCTGTTGATGTAATATATACTAAAAAATTTTTAAAGGAAAACAAAGTGAAAGAAGGTTTTCTTCGTTTTGCTAAGTTTTTTAATTCTGAGAAAGTGGTAGTAATCAGCACTTAGCAAAGGCATTATTGTTTTCTGGCAACCTACTCAAATCATGTTCTGTCATTGTGCCATTGAAAAAGTTACCTTTTGGCATCTTCCTAAATGTATATATGTGCTTATTACAAAAACAAAGCAATAGAAAGCAAATAATAATAATAATAATAATAATAATAATAATAATGCCAGCAACAAAAACAACTGTGGTCCAAAAGATTCTGGGAAAGTTGAGATGGATCAGGTTTTTCCCAGTCTCGTTATTCACTTACGTGACCTAGATCTTTTTTGTTAGGTGACAATTGTAATCACTGGGCTATTTGTCATGCCGTTTCTGAAATATTTCCATATCTCAAATAGAGCCTCTTTGTTAACAGCTTCCATGCGGAAATTTCAAGAGCAGAATGAGACATTCCAAGCCAACAGAGCCAAAATGGCAGAAGGACTGGCTTTGGCATTAGCCAGAAAGGACCAGGTATTTTATATGTGACGCCCAAGACTGGTGGAAAGATTTCACTTCGTGACATGATTTCAAAAATCATGAAATAAACCTGGTAGAAAATATTTATAGTCTAGGAGAGAAGTTGTAATCATGAAATGCATCCGGAATGTGAGAATGCATCCAGAATATCATTCTATCATTCTGTGTAGCTTTGTAAAAGGGAGAGGGAAATCATGTGTCCTAATCTGGTGGCATATCCCAAGAGAAGGAAAACGGTCTCTGTCCTCTAAAAACCTGTCTCAAAGCCTAGTCCCCAAATATGATAAATCGTGGAAAATGCTATCAAGCTAGCCAGCTTCTATGATGTACATAGTTCTTAACAACCTCTCTTCCCCAGTTTCTTCAACCCCAGTGAGCTAGACAGAAAAGAACTCCTGTAATCTCACTAGAACCATTCATTGACAGAGGCTGGAATAAGAAAGGAAAATAGTACTATTACTAACTGTTATAATAATTATGAAGAGTATTTCATTTAGTGGCATTTTAAGATAAACATCAAGATATTATGATAATCTTGATTTATTAAGACAGGGTCAATTTATGATGTTTCACTTAAGAAAATATATAATTCATCTACAGTAGGTGGGTGGTTGGCTTGTTGGTTGGTTTTAAAGTGAGTATCCATCATCTGGGACATTTGCTAGCCAGAAAAAGACCTCATTCCCAATACTTAGTGGATAACTATGGTATGAATGTATATAAATGAAGAAATCATCTAAAATTGGTGGATTCTGATTGTAGACAGTTGGAATATGGCTTTTTATACAAATGGTGATTTTTACTGCTGTTCTCTGATTTGTGAATAAGGGGCATAATCCTTTTACCTTTAACTTATGCCTTATACCAAACACCATAAAACATACTGGTAAAATCAAGATAAGAAGGAAAATAATGATTAGGGGCTGGTGAAGACCGTCCCCCTCAACTTCAGTAAATTAATTTCTAAACATCAGTTATAGAGTTACCAACTCAGCTGGTCCCAGCTACCCACTCCCAAGAAATAATAACAATACTCATGGAAAAACACGTAGGAATAAACTGAAAAGCTGCATCAGAACACCACATTACAGCTTTGTTTGGTGCTCTACTTAGTAAAAATCTGCAGGCTTGTATTTGTGTTCTAGAATTTTTTATAAAATTCATTTTCTTCTCCTTTTAGGACTCTTGGCTTTCTTAAAGTAAGCCAACTTTATGGGACTTTTTTTTAATTTGCTGTTTTGGTTGGTTGCTTGCTTGTTTTTCAGGGGGAATTAGGTGGTTTTGCTTTCTGAAAATCTTTGTTACTGATAGTCTTCTCTGGAAACTGTACTTTTTTTGTTGTTTTGTTTTAGGAATGGTCAGAAAAAATGGATCAGCTTGAAAAGGTTAGTTCATCTTTTATTTTTGTCTCACTATGAATGTTGGCTTCTTGGGGCTTAGAAAATGGTTTCTCCAGTACCCAGTGTACAGATTGCTCTACCACCTCTTGGACTCAAGGTCCTGGATAATTAGACACTAACTTGAAAAGCTCATGCGTTCTCCTTTCTGGATGGGCATGCTGGATATCTTTTGTTTTCCCCTCGCAATATCCGCTCCACCCCTCTCTTACCTTTTTCTGTGTACCTGAAGGCTGTTAGAAACTGTATCAGCAGGGCTCCTTTGCCCTCTGGCTTCCGATTGGGTTCTGCCAGTGGGGAACTCCAAAAGACCGACGGGCAGAAGAAGAGTGTGGTCGGAAGGCTTTTATTCCTTCAGCCTTCTCCATGTGGGATCCATCCAGGTTGGTTGCGTCCCATGACCAAAGGTCACAGCTTCAGTTGGATATCCCGGGGTCTCTTGGAATCTCCTCGTCCCTTTGCCCCTTCATGCCCAACTGTTACTAGCGCATTATCTCTTTGGGTTTTCTTATCTCACCCACAGCTTTGAAAAGTCCCTTTATTAAACTCCTCTCAAAATACTCCATTTGCGACTGCCATCTGTTTCCGACTGGGGCCCTAATTGGCACTGTGGTAACATTAGGAATTCTTTTTGAAGAGGCAATGAGAAGGAGGGCATTTTTCAAGGCTCAGCGTTAAGTAGATAAGAGCACTTCTTGACTAAACACGATGAGGAAAATTGATTACTTTAGCACCATAGCTTGTGTAACACTGTGTAGGTGCTTAACGTAATGTCTTCCTGGCTCCCAGACATGAACAGGAAGATGAAGCTTCAAGCCTACAGTTAGAAAAACATTTTAATTTCAAAATCAGCCCCCTCAGCCCAAATTATATGCTGCTACCTAATTCACTTTTTCGTTTTCATTGAATACTCCTAAGTTACTCTTCGTGGTAGAAAAATTATTTCTTAGACTGATTGATTCAGTTGCACAATATATTTACTGTTTATTTTATTAAACAGGTGAGTTTTATTGTTGCTACATTCTCGGGAGAAAACACCAAGTTAAACCAGCAATTTCGTGTGTCTGTTCTGTAGAAATCTGATTATCAAGCTATCAGTTAAAAAATGCTTGACCAGAATGCCTGGGTGGCTCAGTCAGTTAAGCTTCCGACTTGGGCTCAGGTCATGATCTCACAGTTCATGGGTTTGAGCCCCGAGTTAGGCTCTGTGCTGACAGCTCAGAGCCTGGAGCCTGCTTCAGATTCTGTCTCCCTCCCTCTACCCCTCCCCCTTCTCACACTCTGTCTCTTTCTCAAAAATATATATTAAAAAAAAATCTGAACGTGGTATGAATGATAGTCTTCTTAAATATGGAAGTATGGGTTAGGTTCAAGTGTTCTAAACTCCAAAGATTGTAGCAATTGAAATTCTCATTGATTTCTTTTTAAATTATGGTACAGGGAGATACATGTAGGACTGAACTAAATAAAACCTACTTCCGCTCACTGGGGCGAGCCCCTACCCCCACTACTCCCCCGCCCAAGGAGGGATTGAGAAATATTTTAGACCCAGAAAGAGCAATGAGACATCTATGTAGGTCTTTGAAGCCTGTAATTTTTGGAAATGTTATTTTTAGACTGTTTTGATTTCTTTTCAATCAGGAATTGGAAACTGCAGCGGCAGGGTTTGTCCTTAAGAGAATCTATCTTGGGAAGCGGTTATTTAGTAGATTGTAACCTGCTGACACCAGTCACAGTCATGTCTAACTTTTGTTGATGTCCTAACTGAAATTGCTAACTGATACCAGTTCTACTTAAATGCATCTCATTTTTTCAGAGTATTCAGCCTTACTCTATAGTGATTCACACCATTCAGCGAGTTCACTATGTCACTTGAAAATAGATGTGTAACATGGATATCTGTAATTTCTTTTTTTTTTTTATTTTGTTAACGTTTTTTTTTTGAGACAGAGAGAGACAGAGCATGAACGGGAGAGGGTCAGAGAGAGAGGGAGACACAGAATCTGAAACAGGCTCCAGGCTCTGAGCTGTCAGCACACAGCCCGACACGGGGATCGAATTCATGGACCGAGAGATCATGACCTGAACCGAAGTCGGACGCTTAACCGACTGAGCCACCCAGGTGCCCCTCTGTAATTCCTGATCAAACTTAAGAACTTTAAAGTGTTAAGTAATGGTTCCTCTTGTTCCCTTTATTCACAGGTGTCATTTAAAACATTTGTTTTTGGGGGGCACGTGGCTGGCTTAGAGCGTGTAACTCTGGATCTCAGGGTCATGAGTTTGAGCCCCATACTGGCTGTAAAGTTTACTTAAAAAAAGAAGGAGAATTTTTTTTTAAAAACATATTTATTGGGGCGCCTGGGTGGCGCATTCGGTTGAGCGTCCGACTTCAGCCAGGTCACAATCTCGCGGTCCGTAAGTTTGAGCCCCGAGTCGGGCTCTGGGCTGATGGCTCAGAGCCTGGAGCCTGTTTCCGATTCTGTGTCTCCCTCTCTCTCTGCCCCTCCCCCGTTCATGCTCTGTCTCTCTCTGTCCCAAAAATAAATAAACGTTGAAAAAAAAAATTTTTTTTTAAACATATTTATTTTTAACTTAAATTTGTAGATAAGGCCATTTTGGTCCTATCACTGTAAAGCTTACCATTATCTAAAATTGTCTACTGACAAGAGATTTTTTTAATGGTGTTTATTTATTAAGGATTTTGCTGGGGGTACTTGGCCGGCTCAGTCGGAGGAGGGTGTGACTCTTTATCTCGGAGTCACAAGTTTAAGCTCCATGTTGGGTATAGAGAATACTTAAAATCTTAGGGGGAAAAAATCTCCTGAATAAAAATAAAAACACTGTGTAGATTAAAAAAAAAATCTGCTTATATAATATGGATTTCTGGTGTCTTAATTGCCTGAGATGATGTCTTCTTCCTCTAAATAGGAGAAAAGGTTTCTGACAGCTCAATTACAGGAAATGAAGAACCAGAGTTTGAATCTTTTCCAAAGGAGGGATGAAATGGATGAATTAGAGGGGTTCCAGCAGCAGGAACTAAGTAAAGTAAAGCACATGGTACGCATTTTTGTTTTCATAGCTAAATACTGAATAGATGATTAATTACTCTGGTTTTACTAGTCCTCACTCTCTAATGACTGAGAAACATACCCTAGTAGTCTTTGATATTAATCATAGTTGTATGTTTTTCAATTTATTATAATGGGAAGGTTCTGTTTGAAATGCGTTCCCTTTTTCTTTTTTTACTACTGGGCATTTAAGTCCCCTTATAAGCTCACAAAAATGTTATAAAAGTTTGGCTTGTTGATCCCTGTTTTTAAAAATATGTCTTAGTAGTATTTCTTCGTAGTGGCCTAATGAAACTTTATATCTTTGTATCAGCTTTTAAAAAAAGAGGAAAGTCTGGGGAAAATGGAGAAAGAGTTGGAGGCGCGAACCAGAGAACTTACTCACATCCAGGAAGAGTTGATGACCTCCAATCAGATGTCTTCAGACTTAAGCCAGAAGCTAGAAGAATTGCAGAGACGCTACTCAGCGCTGGAAGAACAGAGGTTCTTGCTTGGTCTGTGGGGCCCATGGGAAGCGGTGTTAGTGTAGCTCTGGCTATAGCTCGCCTGCCTTTCCCCACTGTTCATTGCAACACTTTCTGATCTCAGTTCTGGCAAAGGCTTCTGGATTGTCCTTACCAGCCCAGGGCTCAGGACCCTCTACTTCCCCCACCCTAAACCTTTATTCCCCTTCACCTGCCTAAGCTCAGCTTCCAAGCCTACCAAGCAATTAAGTATGTTTTTGTTTCTAAGCTATTGAGTAACCAAAGGCAGACTGGGATTTTTTGCTTAAACCTGGGTGGGATTTTTCTCTTTGGGCTTCTACTTCAGAAAGAGCCAAGGAGTCTTCTCCATTGATAATCTTCACGTGGCTAACGTTTGCAGCCCTGACATATAAAAAGCCATCTGTATTTTTCCTGTCAGAAAGTGTCCTTTAGATGAGATTTCCAAATGTGTTTATTGTCTGCTTTCTTTCAATGAAGGGATCATGTGACAGCTTCAAAAACAGGTGCAGAAAATAAGATCGCAGCCCTGGAGCAAAAGGAACAAGAGCTCCAAGTATCCATTCAGCAGCTTTCCATGGATTTGCAGAAGGTAAGTAGAGTACTAGGAGCGGATCCAGGATTCATGAATGGGGTAGAAACTAAATCTGTCAGAAATTTCAGTCTCAGGGTGGCAGCTGAAACTTCTATTTCTCATGCTGTCTGCACTGCCCTACTTCCTGGTCTAGCCAGGGTACATTCCCATGTAAGTGGCCACATGGCTGAACAAAGGTTGCTTAACAGAAGAGGTCAGTATTGTACTGGCAGGAATTCTCAAAGCACACGATTTGATCTGCTCACATTTGTTCTAAAGTACTACATGGTGGGCCTCAAGCATAAGAAGATGCAACCATCATGGATGATGGGGCCTAATGCAGTTTGTTCAGAATGATAGTCATTACACTTCATTTGTTCATTTGGCCAACATTTATTGCCTTCCTATTACAGGCGTGTGCTAAGCTTCAGACTATAAAGAAGAAGAATAAAAAATATTATTATTGACTATAGAGTAGTGTTTCTCAGTGGTATGTTTCTTCTCATCATTTTGAATAGAATAATTGTATTGTATGATTGTCCCTTGCATTGCAGGACATTTAGCTTTCTGGCCCCTGGGTTCTTAATGCCAGCAGCATCCTTCAGGCATTGACAATCCAGCCCTTCCCATCATATGACAGAACATCCCCTGGCAGGTGGTACCACAGACTCTACCCTCATCCCTTGAGAACTGCTAATCTCAAGTGCAACAAAGACTTAACAGCATCTATTTGTGTAAATAGGAGTCTTCGCATACCTACAGGTACCCAAATGGAACCTGAGAGAGGTTATATACTTTGTTCAAGAATTTAAAACTAAGTCACAATAAGTGACAAAGCTGGATTCTAACCCAAGTCTTACTCCAAAACTCATGCTTGTGCTACTGGACTTTGTTGCCTCACCCAGTAAACAGACCTTACATAAATGAATGAGTGTGATATAAGGTCTCTACCCTCAGTGAACTGAAAATCTAGAGACTTAGTGTTTTCTCTCAGGAACTTACAGTTTCATTACAGAACTCAAACCTCCTGTGACCACAAGAAAAGAAATTCTCAACTCAGCAAGTCCCAAATAAGTGACATAGGTTTTCCATTGCAAAAGATAGGCCATAGGGAGAGTATGTTTCCAGCACAGGAGTCAAGGAACTCTTCCTGGAGGAACTGGAATTTCAAAGATGGGTAGTACAGCAGGAGGCAGAGAAAGCAGAAGGGCACAGAACATATGGGAGTACCGGAGATAACACACAAATTTTGGGACTCAAGAGACACTTTGATATCAATTAGAACCATCTGTCCATTTCAGGGGCGGCTGGGTGGCTCAGTTGGTTGAGCATCTGACTTCGGCTAAGGTCGTGATCTCACATTGAGCTTAGGTGCCACATCGGGCTCTGTGCTGACAGCTTGGAGACTGGAGCCTGCTTAGGATTTTGCATCTCTGCTCCTCCCCCACTTGCACTGCCCCTCTCTCTCTCTCCCTCTCTCTCTCTCTCTCAAAAATAAACAAACATTGAAAAAAATCCATCCATTTCATAATTGGAAAAACTAATTTTTTAGATTGTGGTTATACTAATAAGTTCTCTCATTCATTCTAAAAATATGATTTGAGCCTTACTGTGTGCCAGGTTCAGTGCTCTGTGCTGAGTGTTAGAAACAGTGTGATGAACAGGGGCGCCTGACTGGCTCAGTCAGTGGAATGTGTGGCTCTTGATCTCAGGTTGTGGGTTCAAGCCACACGGGGGGTGTAGAGATTACTTAAAAATAAAATCTTTAAAAAAAGAAACACCGTGGTGAGCAAGACAGATACCGCACTTGCCTTTGTGGAACTTCTAGTCTAGAGGGGAAGTCAGATGTTAATCGGTAATATATACATAAATATATAATTACAAACCCTGATGCATGCAGTGAAGCAAAACTACAGGATATTGTGGCATCTTTTAATGGCATCAGATTAGCCTTGGGGGTCAAACAAGTATTTCCTTTGAGGAAGTAACACTTCAGCTGCGGAGGGGGAGAGACAGTGGGAGAGAATTTTAAGCAAGGAGCAGTATGAACCAGAAACCCAGAAACCTTGAGGCAGGAAAAGGATTAGCACATTCAGGGAACTGGAAGAAAGAACACAGAGGAGAATGGAGGATTCTCCTCCATTGCTACTGCAATGGACCTACTTGCTACTGCAATGGATGTAGAAGAGGAGCAAGAGAAAAGTTTTGGTGATGGTTTCGGGTTTCTGGAGTGATCGACTGAGTGGCTGATAGTGTCAGTCATTGGGCTAAGAGCACCAGAGGAAGGACAGTTTTATCATGAAGATCATGAGTTTGGAGTCCATTGTTTTGTTTATCATTATTGAATAGATGTAACATTTACAAAGATAAGTAAGGTAGAGAGTATAACAAGTCAGTGAACCCCTATGTAGCTAACCCCCAGGTTAAAAAGAGTAATATGTTTATCTTTGAGGTTCCCCATGTGCTATTCACTGTTCCCTCCCATTCCTTTTTCTTTTTTTTTTTTTTTTTTTTTTAAATTTTTTTTTTTTTTTTTTCAACGTTTATTTATTTTTGGGACAGAGAGAGACAGAGCATGAACGGGGGAGGGGCAGAGAGAGAGGGAGACACAGAATCAGAAACAGGCTCCAGGCTCTGAGCCATCAGCCCAGAGCCCGACGCGGGGCTCGAACTCACGGACCGCGAGATCGTGACCTGGCTGAAGTCGGACGCTTAACCGACTGCGCCACCCAGGCGCCCCTCTTTTTTTTTTTAATTTAATATTTTTAAAGTTTATTTATTTTAAAGTTTATTTATTACTTATTTATTTTGAGAGAGAGAGACAGAGTGAGGAAGGGAGGGCAGAAAGAGGGAGAGACAGAACCCCAAGCAGGCTCTGGGCTGTCAGTGCTGAGACTGATGTGGGGCTCGAACCCACAAACTGTGAGATCATGACCTGAGCCAAGATCAAGAGTAGGATGCTTAACCAACTGAACCATCCAGGCACCCCTCCTTTTTCTAAGTAAACACTATCTAGAAACTTCCATTAGTTTTATAGAACAATGGAAGAAACTTCCATTTTGTTTTATAATTTTACCATTATTTTATCCCTAAACAGTATATATCTTCTTTTGTTTCTCATGCACATTAAAATTATATAAATCATCGTGTAGGTATTCTTCTAAACCTTGTTTTTTGTGCTCAACATTGTATTCCTAAAAAACTTTCATATGGGTACATGCTGCTATAACTTGTTCTTTTCTCAGCTACATACTATGAAGTTACCAAAATTTATCCATCTTATTGACAGTCAACATTGGGGTATTTCTGGTCTTTTGCTCTCACATACAAGGCTGCTATGAGCTTTCATCCACCTGTGCAGGTTATTCTAGGGCATATTTAAGATATGGAAAGTTTGGGGGTTTTTGGCTGGCTCAGTCAGTGGAACATGCCACACATTGGGTGTAGAGATTATGGGACATCTTAAGGGACATCTGGGTAGCTCAGTTGGTTAAGCATTCGACTTCAGCTCAGGTCATGGTCTCACAGTTCGTGAGTTCAAGCTCCTCATCAGACTCTGTGCTGACAGCGTGGAGCCTGCTTGGGATTCTCTCCCTCTCTCTCTGCTCCTCCCCTCCTTGTTCTCTCTCTCTCTTTCTCCCTCTCCCCCTCCCTTTCTCTCCCTCTCTTTCCCTCTCTCTCCCTCTCTCTCTCTTTCAAAATGAACTTAAAAATATTTTTTAAAAAATTACTTTTTGTATTTGTTGCTGGCCTATAGAAATATTATTTTTGTATATTGTTTTGTACAACTTATTAGCTCTTATTAAGCTTAATAACTAACGTACAGATGTTTTTTAGTTTCTTGAATAGCAGTCATCTGTGAATAATGATGGTTTTGTTTGTTTCAAATTCTTATACCTTTTATTTCTTTGTCTTACTCTGTTATTTGTTTTCTTATTGTTGAATTGTAAGAGTTTCTTTTACATTTTGGATAGCACTTCTTTATCAGATGTGTCTTTTGCAAATATTTTCTCTAATCTGTGGCTTGATTTCTTATTCTCTTGACATTGTCTTTAGCAGAGTAGACATTTCTAATGTTGATGAAGTCTGTTTATCAATTATTTCTTTCATGCATCACACCCTTGGTGGTATATTTAACAAATAATTGCTATCCCCATGGTCATCTAGGTTTTCTCCTTGTGTTATCTTCTATGAGTTTTATAGTTTTAAGTTTGACATTTATATCTGTGATACAATTTGAGTTAATTTTTATGAAGGTTGTAAGGTTTCTATGTCTAGATTCATTTTTTTTCATATGGATGTCCCATTTGTTCCAGCACCATTTGGTGAAGAGGCTGTCTTTGCTTTATTGTATTGCCTTTGCTTCTTTGTCAAAGATCAGTCAAGTTATTTATGGGCATCTATTTCTGGGCTCTCTATTCTGTTTCATTGATCTATTCTTTTTTTTTTTTTTTAATTTTTTTAAAAATGTTTTTATTTATTTTTGAGACAGAGAGAGACAGAGCACAAGCAGAGGAGGGGCAGAGAGAGAGAGAGAGACACAGAATCTGAAGCAGGCTCCAGGCTCCAAGCTGTCAGCACAGAGCCTGACGCAGGGCTCGAACTCATGGGCTGTGAGATCATGACCTGAGCTGAAGTCGGACGCTTAACCAACTGAGCCACCCAGGCGCCCCAATTTGTTCTTTTACCAATATCATCCTGTCTTGATTATTATAGTTTCATAGTAAGTCTTGAAGTCGCCTAGCATCAGTCTTCCAACTTTGTTCTTCTCCTTCAGTATTGTGTTGGCTCTATTGTGGGTCTTTTGCATCTCCATATAAATTTTAAAATCATTTTGTTGATATCCATAAAATAACTTGCTGGGATTTTGGTTGGTATTGCATTGAATCTATAGGTCAAGTTGGGAAGAACCGATATCTTAACAATATTGAGTCTTCCTATCCATTAAAATGGACTCTCATTCCATTTATTTAGTTCTGTTTTGTTTTTTTATTTCATCAAAGTTTTGTAGTTTTTCTCATATAGGTCTTGTACATATTTTATTAGACTTATACCTGAGTATTTCATTTTAGGGTGCTAATGTAAATGGTATTGTGTTTTTAATTTCAGATTCCACTTTTTTATTGTTGGTACATAGAAAAGCAGTTGACTTTTGTATAACAACCTTGTATCCTGCAACCATTCTATAATCACTTGTTATTTCTGGGAGGGTTTTTTTTGCCAGTTTATTTGGATTTTCTACATTAATGATCATGTCGTCTACTAACAAAGACAGTTTTGTTTTCCTTACCAACGTATGTACTTATATTTCCTCTTCTTGCCTTATTACATTAGCAAGGACTTTTTTTTTTTTTTTTTAACATTAGCAAGGACTTCTAATACAATGTTGGAAAGGACTAATGAGAGGAGACATCCTTGCCTTATACCTGATCTTAGTGGAAAAGCTTTGAGTTTCTCATCATTAAGTATAATGTTAGCTGTAACATATAAGGTGTTGGGGGCCTGAAATAAAGCAGCCAGAGTGGAGGGGAGGATCCATGTAGGATATGGCACACAAGAAGACTAAACAGAAATTGTAACTGATTCTTTTTCTGTCCCTAATTTTGCCTAACACCAAAACTTGTTTGGTCTTCGGTTTTCACTATAAAGAGTCACCTATATATCTCAAGTTCATATTGATATGTAGTAGAATGAGTACAGGCTTTGGCTGCAGAAGACCTGAGTTTGAATCTTTAATTTCACAATAAGGTGTGCGCTTTTGGGCTATTTTCTAAGCTTCAGTTTCCTTATAAATGGACACAGTGAAGGGTGGCCGTAAGGACCAGGGATGATGGGAAGTGCTTACTCACGTTCTGCAGACTATAGCTGCCACTGCTGCACTCTGCTATACTTTCTGATTATTGCATTATTAGTAAGAGACCCCTCATGATTGGTCGTCATGGCCAAACTGTTTTTTCTTTCTCTCTCTCCCTCTGGCCAGACATCTGAGTCACAGACGTGGGAGTTGTCTTTACCTCTTTTCCCGGCTTTGTGGTCATGCTGAACTTGTCCGGCACCTCTTTGCATGTGCTGTTCTTTACCCAGAATGCTTGTTCCTCTTTCACCCCCCTTCTACCTGATCTGGATACGCCTGATGTGATTTCCCCCGTTAATCCCTCCTTTCTCTGATATCTCATAGCACCTTATATGTCCCTGTGTTGCAGTATGATTGTATTGTTTTATAATTGATTGCATGTGTATGTGTCTTCACCACCAGCCACCATCTGTGGATCAGGAACTGTGTCTGGTTGTATCCTCAGAAGGCAACATACGGTATAGACTTGATAAAAGTTTATTGAACTATGGAACCTTGAATCCATGCTTCAAACTTCTCCTCTACTACCTATGCCATCACCCCTGTGAGACTGTAGAATGGCAAGTGTTTCTTCCTAAAACCCTAAGCCCAAGTTGCTACATTTTATTCTGAGGAGAGATTGACTGAGTTCTAAGCTGAACATGAAAGTCTGTAGCTTGAAATGGAGCAACAGAAGCATTAAGTAGGGGATTTTGAGGAAGCAGAGTATCCGTGAGGATGTACAAGTCTTCATAGTAAGATGTTGATGCTGTACGAACTTTTTTTGAAGAGAGGAGAATGGGCAACCTCAGTGAATACAAGGACCACTAGGGATCTAAGAACTTGTGTGTTCAAAGTTTCCTGGATCCTCTGTTGAACCCAAGTCCCAACCCGTTGCCACCACCACTAACTACCATCATTGCTAAAGGGATAGACTGAAAGGAGGATAGCTGTTGGTCTGGGGCTAGGGTGTGAGATGCACAATGGATCTGCCCTGGTCCCTGTGCTGGGAGGCCAGGGTGAATGTCATCCTGTGTTTTAGAAGTTCTCTCTTAGGCCTTCATTAAGGCAGCTATGTTGGCATCCTTACTCCTTCATCCAGCCCCATGTGTCCAGAAACATTGTTCTCTTTGGTCGTTTGTAGAGCTTATGGGGTCCTTCTTGAGTGGGATTAGCTCTGCCAAGTTCGGCATGTGAGCTAAAATTGTTGTGGGCCCTATTGGACTCTAGATTAATAGGATTAAACGTGTGCTTGATGAGAGTAAAAGGTTGTACATCATGACAGTATAATCTGATTGTCTTAAAAAGGAGGCGCATCTTCTCAGCGTCCTGGGTGCATTCCACTAAGGGAATAGCCTTGTTCCTTCCCGCATTGTCAATTGCTTACGTTGTATGAACGATTGATTACCTCTTGCGGTGCTCAGTCTGAACCAGTGCCTGGGTGGTGCTGGCTCCTGATCTTGCATCTTCTGTGTCCCTTTTCAAGGAAGATATCTTGGCTGTTTGTTCTTCTGAGAGGCAGTTGAGAACAGAATTTCGGGGAAACATAATCCAAGAGGAGACAGGAAATGGGAGAGGGGTCATAGAGTAACGTAATCTCTGCTTTCACTTGCAGGCCACCGCTGATACTCAAGAAAAAGAAAAACTCATCACACACTTGCAGGAGAAAGTCTCATCCTTGGAGAAGAGACTAGAGCAGAACCTGTCAGGAGAAGAACACGTGCACGAGCTCCTGAAAGAGGTAGCTGGCTCTGTTAGGGCAGCCACTGCTGGGAAGGGAATGGTAACACCGGAGATTTCATGCAGTCACAAAGCTGCAGGGCCAGAGTCCACAAGCAGCCGGGTGGGAGAGCGCTCTCTCCAACTTTTGATTGTCCTGCTTCCAGCAAAAACAGCCCTGTCACCCATGTGTACCGTGCTTCATTCAGAGATGCTTGTGAATGAACAGCATCCCTCCCAATCGCCAATAAACTCCACCGGTGATATATGCCACTTGGGCTATCTTATCTTACCGCCCTGTTCTCTTCCACCTTTTTGCACTTTCCGGTGGCCAAGGAAAATTTTTACCATCTGCCTGTGATGTGAACAAGAATGGCCTTCAGCAGTGAGGGGACTCTCCTTCGCTGAGGGAGGCTGTTCAGCGGACTGGCCTTTTGCCCAGTGGTGTAGGTGAACTCACTTTCTCATCAGGCCTGAGCCCACTGTCTGCCCATATCCTACCCCTCCTTCCCTTTGTATCCCAGTGACTGGCCTCACCATGACAGAGGTGGCACGGCCAAGACCTTGGGCCCAGATTAGACCCTCCCTGTCTGTCTGCACTTAGTTTCAACTAAATATCTCCATCTCCACTGCCACCGTCGTCCTTCATGGCTTCCAATTGCTCTAGCTGAGTTCATATCGGAAGTCTCCAGCCTGCCCTACCCAAAATAAGTCTGTCCTTCACCCCTGACAGTCTTCCACGCTCCCTGCCTAACTGATATTCCTGACTGCCTCATTCCCTTAACCATTTTCCCCAGCTCCCCTACAGTCTACAAGTGTGTATACCCTGGGTTCTGGAGTGTATTGATTTCTAGAATCAGACTGCATAGGTTTGTGTCTTGCCTGTTCTACTTACCAGTTTGTGACTTAGAGCAAGTAACTTAATCTCTTTGTGTTTGTTTTCTCCTCTTTGAAATAGGGTTGATAATTGTACCAGACAAATAGAATTGTTAGGGTTCAAGGAGTTACAGTATGTGAAGTGCTCAGAATGAAGCTCTAGAACATAAGTCTCAATGTATTTCAGCTGGTAATATTATAATCATTATTGTTGTGCCATCATCATCATTATAAAGCTTAGTGTGCATAGGAGTTACTTGGGGAGTTTTTTTAAAGTGTATATTCCTGCCCACAGATAGCCTGTTTTCAGTAGGCCAGGTGTAAACCTCCAAGTTTAACAGCCAGGTACCCCTCCGCCAATCAAGTTAGTCTAATGCCAGTGTTTGGACAGCCCCACTTTAAAATATATTGCCTACAGGGGTGCCTGGGTGGCTCAAGGTTGGTTAAGCATCTGACTTCAGCTCAGGTCACGATCTCATGGTTTGTGAGTTTGAGCCCCACATTGGGCTCTCTGCTGTCAGCACAGAGCCTGCTTTGGATCCTGTGTCCCCCTCTCTGCCCCTCTACAGCTCGTTCTCTCTTAAAATACATAAATACACTTAAAAAAAAATACATTGCCTGCAAAATTAAATTCAGTCTCTGCAGCATAAAAAGCTTCTCATGATCTGGTCCTTTGCCTTTCTCATTTTGTTTCTTGACCTGAATCCACCATTGCTTTAGCTTTTTGGAAGTTGTAGTTCCCTGAGTGTCCCAGGCTATTTCATGACTCCACTGACCTTCCCTCTGCCTGGGTGCTCCCTCCCACCCCTGGCCACCTGTGAATTAGGAAGCCACCCACTTTCCTGAGGCGGCGAGTGTCCTGCACAGGGCACCTCTGTGGGTACTTACTGCACTCTGTAATCTTCTTGTTAGTCTTTTGCCCCAGCCTCAAGGACTAAGGACTGTGTCAAATTTATTGCATACTTTTTTTTATTAAATTTTAATGCTTATTTATTTTTGAGAGAGAGAGAGCACGAGCCGGGGAGGGGCAGAGAGAGAGAGAGAGAGAGGGAGACACAAAATCCGAAGCAGGCTCCAGGCTCTGAGCTGTCAGCACAGAGCTCGACACAGGGCTTGAACTCGGGAACAGCGAGATCATGACCTAGGCCAAAGTCGGATGCTTAACTGAGCCACCCAGGCGCCCCTCTGTGTATACTTTATGTAATGTGAAATTTATCTCAATCAGCCCTTATTTTTGTTAATGCATTTGTGTCCTTTGTGTCTTGCACAAACCACAGTATATTGTAGGTATCGGTGAGTATTTATTCAGTGGGAAAATGAGTATTTTCTTATACTCTTCCTTCAACTTACAGAAAACAGTTGCTGAGCAGAATTTGGAGGATACCAGACAGCAGCTCTTGGCAGCCAGAAGCAGCCAGGCCAAGGCCATGGACATCCTGGAGACTCGGGTACTAACCTCACTCTTAGTGATTCCCATGTCTGGGTGGTAACCTGGTTGGATGACGTGGTTGTGGGAGAATCCCCTGGGGTCAGAGGTTTTCTTTTCTTTTCTTTTGTAATGTTTATTTTTGATAGAGAGAGTGTGAGCAAGGAGGGGCAGAGAGAGAGGGAGACACAGAATCTGAAGCAGGCTTCGGGCTCTGAGCTGTGAGCACAGAGCCCGACACGGGGTTCAAACCCATGAACCACAAGGTCATGACCCGAGTGGAAGTCAGACGCTCAACTGACTGAGCCACCCAAGCACCCCAAAAGTTTTCTTTTAAAGGGACTGTTTTGGATCTTACTTACACATGGTTGAGTTAGTCATTTTCTTCATTCTTGCCACATTGCCACCGTTGTTCCACACAAAATTGTTCTCGTTTGTTCATTCCCTTTTATCCCCAGTCCCTTCCTTCCCACAGGAAGCCATTCTAATGTGGTTAATAGAGATCCTTTTGTTGTTGGGTTACCTTAAAATTGGTGACCTTGTTTTGTGTGCATGTGTGTTAATTTATGTGAGTGATGTAGTTCCACATCCACTGTTCCTTTCACCCGCCCCATCTTCTGGCTGTGTCCACTGGATTGCGCTCACTACACCACATTGCAGTCATCTGCCGGGCGCTGGACGTCCAGGTTGCCACCTTCTTCCTGTCACCACAGAATACATGGCAGCAAATAGCTCTGTCCTTGTCGCCTTGAGGGTAGAGAACGCATATGACCTAATGTGACTAAGTAGGACAAGAATGTTCCTACAAGGGCTGCGCTTGGCTCTACTCCCCCAGCATGCTTGAAGGGGTCCTATACCTGCTTTGCTGTCTTTTCCAGCCATTTATTTATGTGTTTATTTTGCCAGTTTAATGGCGTGCGAAATGGTGGAAAGGGTAAGGGATCTCTGTGGAGCCTCTTTCTTAAGGGCACTAATCCCGTCCTGAGGGCGGAACCCTCAGGACTTGAGCGCCTCACCTCCCAAAGGCATCACCCGAACACCTCACCTCCCAAAGGCATCATCAACTCCTGTCACCATCACATCAGACATTAGATTTTCAACATGAATTTGGGGGACACAAACATTCAGACTATCACAAATGCTTAGCTCATTTAAAAAAAAATTTTTTTAATGTTTATTATTTTTGAGAGACACAGACAGAGATAGAATACAAGCTGGGGGAGGGCAGAGAGAGAGGGAGACACAGAATCTGAAGCAGGCTCCAGGCTCTGAGCTGCCAACACAGAGCCCGATGCGGGGCTCAAACTCATGAGCCATGAGATCATGACCTGAGCTGAAGTGGGATGCTCAACCGACTGAGCCACCCAGGCGCCTGCTTAGCTCATTTTAAAAATCTTATTTCCTGATAAAAATATTCATAGGTGTATTTTTCTCAGCACAGCTTTGTTTGCTTTATTAGAATTCATTTCTATTTCTGAATTTCTATTTTTTATTGCAATAAAATACGTGACATAAAATTTACCATTTCAATTGTACACTCTAGTGTACAATTAGTGGCATTAAGCACATTCAGACTATTGTGAATCCACCACCACCATCCGTGTCCAGAACTTTCTCATCGTCTCAAACTGAAATTCTGTCTGCATTGAATACTAACTTGCCATTCTCTCCCACCCCCAGTCCCTGGCAGCCACCATTCTACTTTCTATCCCTATAAATTTGACCACTGTAGAAACCTCATAGTAGTGGAATCTTACGATATTTGTCCTTTTGTGTCTGGCTAATTTCATTTAACATATGGCCTCAAGGTTCATTCATGTTGTAGCATGTGTCTGAATTTCATTCCTTTTTGAGGCCAAATAAGCCAGGGTTTTGTTTTGTTTTGTTTTGTTTTGTTTCAGTTTTTTTATTTTAAGTAAACTCCATGCCATGGAGGCTCAAACTCATGGCCCCAAGATCAAGAGTCACATGCCCTCCTGCCTGAGCCAGCCAGGTGCCCTGAGGCTGAATAAGCCTTTTTAAAAAAGGCTTTCATTCTTTTTTATGTCTGTACCACATTTTGTCTATCTATTCATTTGTCGACGGACATTTGGGTTATTTCCACCTTTTGGCTATTGTGAATAATGAACATTAGTGTAGTGCTGTGAACAAGGTTTTTGTGTGAGCTTTTACTTTGATTTCTGTTGGGTTTCTGTCTAGGAGTGGAATTCCCAGGTCATATGATAACTCTGTGCTGAACCTCTTGTGGATCTGAATCTTTCTGGAGCTCTGCCTCTAAATTGGGACCTGAGTAGATCCTTTCTGAATTCAGGAGTTTAAAAAGCTAGGTTTCAGTTCTGGCTCTACCATTAATAAAATTTGTGATATTGGACAAGTAACGCTATCCTCACCTGTGGAAATAATGCTGTTCTCAGGGAGTTGTTGCAGTTAAATCTTACATGTGAATATGTATAAGGAGCCGTGAGACCTAAAAATATCCTCCGCCCATTGGGTACCTACCTCTCCGTGACAAAGCTGCAACCTTCCTTGTGTTTGTTTTCACGATAAGCTTCCTCAAGGTCAAATGTTATTCAGCGAACAAGAGGACTTTATAAGGGAAATTGGCAAAGACAGCTCAAATCAGATAAAAATGGCCCGTTGGAAGATCTGGCTCTGCGGACAGGGTGTCGTCCCATCTGCGGGGCCGGCCTAGCGTCCTAGTGCGGTGCCGGGTACACAGTCAGACTCGGTTGACGTCTGTAGAATGAGTGAAAGTTTGTACGGTGAGCAGTCATCCCACTTCCTGGAATCTGTCGTAAGGAAGTGGCTCAAACCAGGTCAAAAACTGTCGAGTGAAGACGTTAACTGTCTCAGACAGAAAAGCGGGAAACAACGTGAGCGCCAGCACAGGAGGCAGTGGGTCAGTAGATTGTGAAACATCCCTTAAGGAAATAATCCAGGTTCTCAAGGCTACATTGAAACACAAAAGGAAACTTGAGTGAAGAGGAAAAATACAAAGTTTGCCTAGAATTATTTTTTTTTAAAAAGTCACAAAAATAGACTGGAGGAAAAGAATGGTAGAATAATGGTAATGATATTTAAACAGATTTGATTTTTAAAGCCATTTGTTCCCACCCTGTGACTTCTTCTGAATGAAGACGCTCCCTTTCCCCCTCAGGTGCAAGAGCTCGAGCACAGCTTGCAGGCTTCTGAGGAGAAGCTGAAGCACAGTGGTGACGTTGTGGCGGCTCAGGAAGCTCAGATTCGGGAGCTAGTAAGTGGTGGTTGTGGCTGCTGGGCTCTAGGCCCTTGATGCTTGCTTGCCCTTTATGCCTTTGCAGTCACCCCAGACTCACCCCGGTGAGGTGCTAGGACCTGACCTCAGATACGCTTGTTGAACTGGGTGTGAGCAGGAGGGCAGCTGTGGTAGAGGGAGTCCGGACGGACCACGTACTGAAGGATCTGAGTTACCCAAGGAGGGAGGGACTGGCTAATTGCCATCTGATGGCTGGCCGTGGGGCCCGGCCTAGTTCTGGGACTATTAGAGGCGGTAACTCTGCCGGCAGTCAGACCTCAGCTTGCGGCCAGGACTGAGGAGAACTTGGCAAGGGGTTTGGCCAACCGTTGCAGCCCCAGGTGGGGTGTTGAGTTAGGAGCTAGAGAAACGAAAGCATTATTTATTGTATGTTGGCCGTGCCAGTCACTGTGCTAAGTATTCTGCACGTGTTGTATTTAGTCCTTGCTATAGACCTAAGAAGTACGTACTATTCTCATTCCCTAGAGGAAGCTGGTTCAGAAAGACTGGGTCACTAACCCAGTGGTCATGGTCTCCCTGCTGGTAAATGGCAGAACCCGCATCTTTCTTCAGTCAGAGCCCTTGTTCATCGTCACTGTACTATACAGACCGTCCATGATTTATAATGGCTCAACTTAAGAATTTTCAGCTTTATGAGATGAGAAATCAGTACGCACTGAGTAGAAACCATACTTCAAATTGTGAAGTTTGAGCTTCTCCTGGGCTAAAGGTGTGCGATACAATATTCTTCCTCGATACCAGACTGTGGTGGGGAGCCGCAGCCCCTGGGCAGACTTTCTGTTTGTCACTTTCAGTGCAGTATTCAGTAAATTACCGGAGATATCCAACACTTTAATATAAAACAGACTTAGCCCAATTGTAGGCTAATGTAAGTGTACTGAGCATGCATTTATTTATTTATTCATTTATTTAATTTTATTTTGTTTTGAAGTAATCCCTACATTCAGCATGGGGCTTGTACTCACAACCCTGAGATCAAGAGTCACGTGCTCCACCAACTGAGCCAGCCAGGTGGCCCTCTTTTTTTTTTTTTTTAAAGTAGCCTAGACTATTAATTTGTTAATTTTATCTATTTATCTTAGAAAATGCACGTGAGCAGGGAGGGGCAGAGAAAGAAGGAGACAGAGAATCCAAAGCAGGCTCTGTGCTATCAGTGCAAAGCCCGATGTGGGGCTCAGACTCACAAATCGTGAGATCATGACCAAGCTGAAATCAGTCATTCAACCAACTGAGCCACTCAGGCGCCCATGGCCTAGCCTACTCTAAATGCTCAGAACTGGGGTACCTGGCTGGCTCAGGCCGCAGAGCATGCAACTCGTGATCTTGGGGTTGTGAGTTCAAGCTCTACGTTGGGTGTGGAGATTACTTAAAAATAAAATCTTTAAAAAGTAAAGTAGGCTAGGCTGAGCTATGATGCTTGTTTTGACTTAATACCTTCAACTTACAGTGAGATTGTCAGGTTGTAACCCCATCGTAAATTGAGGAAGATACATATTGCCTCCCCAAGAAAAGCCTCAGCCATAGAGGGCAGTACCAAGTAGGGTGAAGGAGGGCTGTATCTTAGGACTGACTGGTTGGTGCCCTAAGCTGTCCTCCCAGCACCAAGACCAGTCCCAGACTCTAGCTCCTGAATAGGCCAGGGGTGCCCGGCAGGGCTGCAGGTGGAGACCTCAGCAGCGCCCAGGCCAGAGAGCAGGAAGGAGAGTTGTTTCCACTGGACACCCATCTTTGGGTCACCAAGGGACAGAACGGATGAGGTCCTCACTGTCACCATGAATACTGTCCTCTGCAGGCCGCCGCAAACAAGGAGAGCAGCCAGGCACAGCAGCAGGTCCTCGCCCTGGAACGGCAGTGCATGGAGCGCGTCCACACACTGGAGACCCAGCTCGCTGCCCTGGAGAGCTCCCGGGTGGCTGACCAGACCGCCGCAGAGCGGGAAGTGGTACGTGAGGAAAGGAGTGAGCTTTGTGAGCACCAGGTTCACACGTTGCTGGGCCGCCGGGTTGTTGACAGGAAGAAGACCAGCCTCCCTCTCAACAGAGAACCACTTTTTGTAGCAGTTTTTATCTTTCCATCGAGACACCTGCTCATGAGAATGGATGTAAAAAGGCTGCTTTTTATAAAACCCCAAACAGATGGGTTTTCTTTTCTTCTGGGCTGCGCAAGGACTTGTGCTTCCTGACCAATCCTGTCAGCCTCCTCCCCTCTTTCTGCAGTGTTCTTGTTCCTCCCTCATGGCTTCTCCCTCTGATTCCTCACCGTCAGAGTCAAGTGCCACATTTCTTCTCGTGAGGAGGGTAGCTGAGAATTTTCCATTCTCCTCTCCCACCCCTGCAGGGACACAGGAGGTGGGGTGCATTTGTAAAGGTTCCATGTCTGTAGGACTGTGCCCAGGGGAGATAGGGAAATGCCCTTTTCGTTTTATGTATACTTTTCTTAATTTGCAGAGAGAACTGGAGCAAGAAAACGCAGCCCTTAAAGAAAGTAAGAATGAATGTGAACGTTCGTTGCAACACCACCAACTTGAACTAAAGAAGCTCAAGGTATTTATCTAACGGCGTCCGTGTGTCACAGCAGTGGCCCATCTTTTATACGTGTATTGGGAGCAGCCCAGTGAAAGTCCTGTACTCAGAGTGGAGAAGGCGTGAACTGGCATTTGTTCAACAGTCCCTTAGACATTTGTTAGAAATCTCACCTCGTTAAGTCCTGTCGTGATCCAGGGTGGGAGGAGGAATTATGCTCACTGTGCAAGTAACGTCATTGAGGCTCCACGTATAAGTAATTCGTCTGAGTTCCACAGTTAGTGCCAGGTGGTGCTGGTCTGACTTCATGCATCCAGCCCTTCCTCTGTGTCATCGTCAGCAGCTTTCTGAAAGGCATGCTGTCAAACCACTGGTGGTGTTGATCGTTCCAGCGAGATTAGCAAAACAAGGGCTTAACTTGTCGTAAGGACCCCATCTGTTTATGTCGGAGACCACATGTAGAGATGAGAAACAGTCTGCTGGATTGTTACCCTTTCCCTTCTGAGAACTTGATTCTTTAGTCAGATTCTTTAATCAGACGTTGCCCCCTTCACTCCCTGGACGTAACTGGATGCAGAGAGTTTCTGCCACTTTCTTACAGGCCTCCAGCCTCCTCTGGCCCCGTTCGTAAGAGCCCTTAGATGCTGGATCATTGCAGTACTTGCCCAACTTGGTCACGACACAAAGATCTTGTGGATCTTTTGGCAGAGACCTTCTCTGAGAACACCCAAAGCTGTGGGTCTGCATTAAGTAAGCTTTCAGTAATAGTCTCTGCTAAGTTAGGTGCTAATGATGTAGTGCCGTATCGTGGGAAACGTGTACTTTGGTGGCAGATATTTTTTCATGCATTCCTTCAGCAAACAGTGGAGTACCTGTGGGCTCTAGTGTAGGTGCTGGCATGTGGCATCGAGCAAAACAGGCAAAATTTCCCTCCAGTGGCACTTGTAACTAGAAAATGAACAACTGATAAATAGTCGTAAGTGCAGTGCAGAAAGTAAAGCAAGTGTGAAGGACAAAGAGGAGAGAGGAGAGGGCTGTAAGGTGGAGGTTAGGGAGGGCTCCCTTGATATTTGAGCAAAAGCTCTGAGTCATGAGAAGGGGCCAGCAATGTGAATGTTTGGGAAGGAAATATTCCAGAAGAAATAGCAAATAGAGGGGACAAAACAGAAGAGACTCCTAAATATGGAGAACAAACTGAGGGTTATGGAAGGGGTTGTGGGAGGGGGGATGGGCTAAATGGTAAGGGGCACTAAGGAATCTACTTCTGAAATCATTGTTGCACTATATGCTAAGTAATTTGGATGTAAATTTTAAAAAATTAAAAATTAAAAAAAAAAGAAAGAAATAGCAAATAGAAAAGCTCTGAGGCAGGGACGCCTGGGTGGCTCAGTCGGTTGGGTGTCCGATTTTGGCTCAGGTCATGATCTCACGGTTCCTGCATCGGGCTCTGTGCTGATAGCTCAGAGCCTGGAGCCTGCTTCAGATTCTGTGTCTCCCTCTCTCTCTGCCCCTCCCCTACTTGCACTCTGTCTCACTCTCTGTCTCTCTGTCTCTCTCAAAAATAAACGTTAAAAAAAATTTAAAAACAAAAGAAAAACTTTGAGGCAGAAAAAACACTTAGTTCAGAAAACAGCACCAAGGCCAGTGTGGCTGCTGCTCAATGGGCTCAGGGAGAAGAGGAGAGGAGCCAGGCAAGCAGACTTTGGGAGTTTTAAGCAAAGAAGTGATGGGAGAAGTCTTAAAATCATTATTCTGGTTCTTTGTGGAGCATATTCTGGAAAGGAGGCAAGTACAGAAGCAGGAAGTCCTGTTCAGAGGCTCAGATATTACATTGCTTACCATGTTTAAAGGCATAAAAGACAAAATCACAAATTTCAGCAGAGATTTGGAAACTGTACTAAATGGAAGCAGTTTTAAAAGGGAAACAAATTAGAGTGTGGGAGCTGGAAAGTGTAGAGCTGAGACCCCAATGCAGTAGGCACCCAAAAGGCACAAGGAAACTTTTGAGGGTAATGAGTATTTTCACGGTTGTTATTGTGGTGATGGTTTCACCATAAGCCATCACATTCCACACTTAAAATATGTGCAGCATAGGGTCAGTTATACTTCAGGAAAGTTGTTTTAAAAAATAATATGTTTAACAACAGATTAGCACTCATAAGAGAATTAGTGAGACAGAAGAAAAGGCAGAATGAAATACAGAAAAAACATGAAAAAAGACAGGATGCTGCAAGGTGTTTGATCACCTGTCAGTGGGGGCCCAGAAGGGAATGCAAATGTGAGGTCAAAGCAATTATTGAAGCAACAGTAGCTGAGAATTTTCCAAATAGCTGAAAGCTGTCAGTTCACAGGTACAGGTGTGAGAATTCTTACAAATCCAAATGGGATAAATGTTATTTTTCCTTTTTCTTTAAGTTTATTTTTTGTTTGTTTTTTTTCTGTTTTTTTGAGAGAGAGAGAGAGAGAGAGAATGCAAGCTGGGGAGGGGCAGAGAAAGACGGAGACACAGGATCTGAAGCAGGCTCCAGGCTCTGAGCTGTCAGCACAGAGCCCAACGCAGGGCTCGAACTCATGAACCTGGGCCCAAGTCGGGTGCTCAACTGACTAAGCCACCCAGGCACCCCTAAGTTTATTTTTTTTTTAGTAATCTCTACACCTGATGTAGGGCTCAAATTCATGACCCCCCAGGATCAAGAGTCACGTACTCTTCCAACTGAGCCAGGCAGGCTCTCCCAAGATAAGTTTTGAAGTCTGTACCCGGACACAGCATGGTAGTAGAACTATAAAAACCAGTAAAACAGAAACGAGGAGTGGAAACCAATTAACAATAAATTTCATATTAAAAAAAAAAACAAAAACAAAAACCCAGAAACGAGGAATTAGTCACCAACAGATTTGCCCTAAAGGAAGTGTTAGAGAGCATCATTCAGGTGGAGGAAGATTCTAGATAGGAGGACAGAAGATAAAAGGCAATAAGAAAGAATAAAGGTACACAAAAAGAACCAGAAGATCTGTCCTACAGTGTGTCCATCACGGTCCAGTCAGGATAAAGGAACCAGACCCATTTATTGAAGTGAGAATTCGTGATCTCATGTAAAGTTTTTAGTCCAGCGCTGAAACAGGCAAAAGATACTGTGAAGGTAGCCACTGCAGAAACAGCTACAACTAAGGGAACAAAGCAAAGAAGGTTGAATTATTAAACTTAGGAATTAAGACAAAGGGCCCCACAGGTCTGGCACTTGGGGACCTGAGCAGGGGACGCTCCTCTGAGCAGGGGACGCTGTTGAGCGGGCGCTGGTGTGCTGGGGGACAGGGCAGCCAGTGAAATCAGCCCCGGGGGCTGGGGAACCTGCAGAGCGGATGCAGATGTGGCTGCGGGAAGAAATTGCCTTCTTGCCACCGCCAGGGCAGTGCAGACTGCTCGCAGAAGCGGACAGGAAGGAGCAAGGCTTTTGCTGTGTTCTCCTGCTTTCCAGTCTGCCTCGAGCTCCTCCTGTTGGCAGAGGCTCACATGGAACCAGCTGGACGAGCAGAAATGTCATTTGCAGAGCCTCAGACCAGATGTAGCATCGTCGCAAAGCAGAGGATGAAAGGGGCAGTGGGGCCGATAGGCGGGAATAAAAACTGGCGCACACAGGCTGTTTAGAAGTGTGGTTAATTTTCAAATGCTTGCGGAAGGTTCTCGATCTTGGATTTCTAGTTTAATACTATTATGATCAGATCATACACTAAATGATTTCAGCCCTTTGATGTTTACTGAGGTTTGTTTTATGGCCCAGCCTGTCATACAGAGTCTATTTTGGTAAATGTTTCAGTGCGCTGCTGCTGTGAGGGGAAAGCATTCTGTAAATGCTAATTAGATCAAGTTGGGTGATAGTGTTGTCCAAATCTTTTATGTTTTCTGATGTTTCTTTTTTGTCTCCTTGTTCCATCAGTTAGTAAGAGTGATGTGTTAAATCTTCAACTGTGATCACAGATTTGTCTCTCTCTTTAATCCTGCCGGTTGTCAGTCTTTGCCTCAAGTGTTTTGAAGCACTATTTTTAGGTGCATACCTATTTAGACTGCTGTCAGGGAACACACTCCCAGGTGCAGGGAGCTGCCACACGTGGGTAGCCTGGTGGCTCCTGCGGCCAACCCGGACTGTGCCGGGCAACCTCGAATCCCACAGTCCTGGGTTGCATGCGGCTCTGGCGGTAGCAGACTTCAGAGCCACATAGACCCCGTCCTGTGTGCCAGCCTAGCCCCTCACCGGCTGACTCTTGAGGGAGTCTAGTTTCCCTTTTTTCAAAACTGAAAATAATAACCCTTGACCTCGAGAGGATTGCCCCGAGGCTCGAGCGTGACCGTGGATAAAAAGTATCCCATGCAGTTCCTGGCATGGAGGTGCTTTGAGTCTCTGGTTCCTGCCCTGACCTGCCTTCCTGCCTCGCGCTCTGTCTGCTGGCCGTCCTCTTAGACACCAGCAGTCCGAGCTCTTCTAAACCTCCCCGGAAAAGCCTTCTGCCACCTGCCGCTTGGACTCACAGGGCCACGTTTCCGTAGCTGCTTCTCCTGTATCAACACTGCCTCCCCCGATGAGGGGTATTGTCTGGCGCAGCGCGGGCTCCTGCCTTTTGAATTCAGACGCTAGGTTTCCTCATCTCTACTAGAGATGGACTCAAAGAAAGGTCAATTCTGACAACTCCACAGTAGGCGCCAGAATTCCCCTGGTCAGGAGGCTGGCGTCTCCTTCCATCAACTCACTTGTACCGACACAAATTGAAAGGTGTCGGGGCGCCTGGGTGGCGCAGTCGGTTAAGCGTCCGACTTCAGCCAGGTCACGATCTCGCGGTCCGTGAGTTCGAGCCCCGCGTCAGGCTCTGGGCTGATGGCTCAGAGCCTGGAGCCTGCTTCCGATTCTGTGACTCCCTCTCTCTCTGCCCCTCCCCCCTTCATGCTCTGTCTCTCTCTGTCCCAAAAATAAATAAACGTTGAAAAAA